ACATAAACGGTAAAAAAATATTTAACAAAAATTAATTTTTTTGTATTTTTGTAATAAATATCCAATTTTTGATCAGATATTTTCAACTTTTAGTAAAACATTATTTTTAAACCAAATCATCAAATATTAAACATATAGTACGTACTCGCCAATCATTACCACTGCTGTATATTTCAATATGGAATCAAGACCATAGGTACCTAATACTAATTTGTGTGAAAAAAAAGGATTTTAATATTCAACTAAATCTGATATAAAATATAGTAATATAATAGTCCTAAATACTCAGTCATTATTCATATATCTGATACATGGCATATCGACATGCGACATTATACTCGTATGCTCATGGACGTAACAAAAATGTAGTAATAATAAAAGGCTCTAGTAGGTACGTAAAAACTCCCGTGATACGTAAAAATTAATAATTCAAATATTTATATACATCGTGGCGTATACTGCAGAACTATCAAAACAAAATAWAGTAATATTTTCAAAAATGTTTAAAAGAAATAAGATTATTCTTAAATAAAGGGCCCACCCCCAAGCCTGTATAATATTATATATTTGCAGTGTTTTCAATTATCATATTMATTATAATTTGTATATATCGTGTCGTCGTGTGCGCGTGGTATATATAATATGTGTAGGTATGAAGATTGGAGCGAACCTGGTGAACACGGCATCAATGCGTAAAGCGGGGGCGGAACTAGTGGATGTGCCAGCAAAGGCATGCAAGGCATACAAATTCGGTTCGGACAAGTATTGGGCGTGTGTGGCCACCGAATATACGGCCACCATATACCATCCAGTTGGCACTTGTAAGATGGGACCAGAACAGGACGAGGAGGCTGTCGTCGACCCGAAACTGCGCGTGTATGGGGTTGCAGGTCTTAGAGTGGTGGACGCTTCCATCATGCCGACTATCGTTCGGGGAAACACGAATGCACCGACCATAATGATTGCGGAAAAGGCGTCAGACATGATCAAGAATGAATGGCATCAACACACATCATCTGGCGCTAACTCGGATGTAATCGAAGAATAACCATAGCAATGTGTGATATAACCATMATATTATTAATTTTCTGTAGGTATATATAAAAATGTAAGCTGATTGACTGATCTATCAACKCACAGCTCAAACCATTGAACAGATCAGGCTGAAATTTGGCATAAAAATAGCTATTATAACGTAGGTATCCGCTAAGAAAGGATTTTTGAAAATTCAACCCCTAAGGGGGTTAAAAAGGGTAAAAAGGAGTAMAAATTGAAAACTTTTTTGTTCCAATTTTTTTGAAATTAAGTATGCATACTTTATATCACAAATAAACATTGTCTATAAACTTTATTTTGTGAAATTCGACCACTAAAGGTGGTTAAAAGGGTTGAAAAATGTAAAAATAGAAAAAACCACCTAGCCGAAACCGCTGTAGCTAGAACTATGAAATTCTGACAGTATTTTTGTTTTATGGTGTAGACATACACTAAGAAAGGATTTTTTAAATTAATTAATTTAATTAAAGATACTTCCTGAAGTCCGATTTAATGAATGTAGTCTTTTTTGTGTCTGGACTATTATATTTGTTAGGAAACACTTTCAATTAAAAATGTGATTTGTTTACAGTTCTAGGACATAGAAAAAGTGTCGGACCACAGAAAGTATGTTTAATTCATTTTAACTTATCTAAAAAATGAGGAAAAAATTACGCACGTTTGCAGGTCCTTTAACACGTGGAGCTCCGCAGCTATTATCGGTGCATAGCCCGTGTCACCGCGCCGAAAATACGTCCGGTCGACTATGCATCGTTATTAGGTATTCGTGAAATACGTTTCGTATATTGACAATAATTAAATATTTTACGTGGTACAATTATACTGTCATTGGTAACTGGTTCGTTCACCAATGAGAATTACCACCACTAGAAGAAATAATCGTAAATAAAATTATAGTTAAAAATAAATTCAATAATTAGTGATAATTATAATTTTATATTTTTCAATCGCTCTGTATATTGAAGGAACACACCGTATCCGAAAGTATGTTACGTTAAAAAGTTTTAAKTTATTAACATTAGAAAATTAATTATATTCAGACGAAGCTATGGTCAAAAACAATAACTTATAGAATAGGTTATGATAATAATAAAATTGTCTTAATAATTAATATGTATAAAATATTATTTCATCGATATTAATTAAATTTTATTTAAATAAAATAAACAATATTTATTATTTAATTTTGCGAGATTACAAACATTTTTATACTTAAGCCCGGCAACGACTGGTAACATATGAAAATAAAACGTGAAGACGTTCTTATATTTAAATATAATTGCATTTTTATAAATACACAGTATGATTTTTTAAACATACTCAACCCCATTTTAAATCATATATCAATACATTTATTCGAATTTCTGATATTTATTTTACCATTTAAGATGCACCCTGTGGTAATACAAACTTCTATTTTTCAAATGAGAACTCTTTTTTTTTTGCTGCTAATTTTTAGCGAGCGATTTTCTTGAAAATATTTATGTATCTAAATCAAAATTTTAATAATTAGTTTCTGAGTTTTTATATATCTCAAATGTGATATATAATTTTTACAAAGTATTTATATTGATAAATCAATAGCGTTTTCTAACATTTTCAAATCATTTAAGCTTCCTAACCTACTTAATTCATTATCAAAGAAGTATTAGCCTTAGTACACATAGTTATATAACTCAAAAACTACTCGTTCAAATTTTGATTTAAATATATCAAAATTCTCTCTCTAAAAAAAAAAAATATCATCAGAACAACTAAAAGTGAAAAAAAGGTTTCTTATTTTAAAAATAGAGATTTATATCGTCATTGGAATATCCTTATAGGTGGTACAAAAAATGTCAAATATTCAAAAATATGGTTTTCAAATAAGCATACAAATGGAGTGAGCATGGTTAAAAAATTACTCTGTATAATATAATGTATATTTGGAACTTATGCTGRACTGCAGTATGAATATAGTGATTAAAGTTTAGTGAAACTTTTAATTATAGGTTCACGGGCGATAAGTTGAAAACTTGAAACCAAAAAGTACACAATATTTTGTGTTTTTATATAGTATTTTTATGTTTCAGCTTTAATAAATACTATGATACAGTAATTTATTATTGATTCAATGATATGAATATGAAACTAATAATAGGTACCTATAAGTTTTTGTAAAATATTTGAAGATAAAAAATATATTTATAATTTATAATTTTAATAGTATAGTTGAATAATAGTGTATTATTATTAGGTATCCAGTAACTTGGTTTTTCTTTTTAATTTTATCGTGACAGTGATAACAAGTAGATATCGTAATATATACATGATTCGTGATGTGTGTTCATAATTCRCTTACTTCAATGCAAACTGTAGAAAAAAACAGAAACAAGCCAACACTGAGCGTACCTATTTATATACTATRAGAACGTAATAAATAATAATTGATTGATCCAAAAACTTGAATCATAAAAAGAGTCACTTCATTAATTATTAGATTAGGTTTGCTATTTTTCAATTTCAAATCTATTCATCAAAAACATAGAACATTTCAAAGACGCAAAAAACTTTATGACATAAGAATCACGTATTTGCGTGCATAAGTATATTGAATTGATTAAGAAATAAAA